ACGAACTGTCCTCCCAAATGCCACTGCCGTATCCTGAGACAGAAAAGTCGAATTGGCTATGATTTTAGCGGTTTTCCCTGGAATATCTACCTCAGCTAGTGTATTCTGTCCATTCAATGCGATCCATGCTCGCTTCCCATCCTTCGAAAAGACAAAATCGTCGCCAAATATTTTGTCGACAAGGACTTCCGCAGGTCCAGTTCCAACTCCCGTCGTGAGTGAGATTGGAATCTTCGCAAAGAGTCCCTGGTTGAGGCTGGTATAGTACAAATCTGATCCATGAATATGGATCCCGTCCACAGAAATCGGCGTAAACCCAGGAGGTACAAACCCAGTAGGCAGATTGGCCATTGTTGGATCTCGAATAACGATCTCATATGCTGCTGTATTGACGTCAAGCTTTATGACTGTTCCAGCAGCAGAGTCCGCAATGAGAAGATTCGAAGTGTCATTGAGACCCATCCGACACATTCCATTGAGTATTTGTGCATCAAGAATCGTGGCAACCAGCGAAACATGGGCGGGTTGAGCGACAGCTCCCCTTGCTAAGGTGCGAGATTGGCGCATATCAACTTTCCAAACGGAATTTGCCCCCGGAGCAGTGGCATTTCCAGTTAACGTTGGATGACGCAACGACATAGAAGGACATCGTGTTCCACATTCGGCGATACCACCAAGACCAATGGCGTTAGGAATTTGGGCAACTTGAATGGGCGCTTTTGCTTTGTGTGGTGATACTTGGAATAGCGAAGTCGTCTTTGTCGATGTTACGAGTATCTCGCCATTGTGTCGCACAGCGAGGATTTCGGCATTGGCCACATTGGGAATTTGTACGATCTCTCGAAGGACGACACCTCCAGAGACTGTTTGTCCGACTGCTGCGCTGGGTAATGCAAAGGAGCATTGAAGGAGCAGCACTACTCCTACGACGCTGAGAACTGGGTAATTGAAGAACATATTACACATGTTAAAATATGGAATAGTTGAGGAACTGACGTGTTGCTGTGACGTGAGGTTGAGAGAATGGATCTATGGAAGAGCAGAGCACTTGGCGCCTTTATCTATAGATACCCCGAACCTTAGAGCCGTTGATTTCTCCCTCAAACATTGTCAGAACTTAGCTCAATAATACTCAAAAACTTATGCCATGAAGGAAGTCTCAAGAGACCAGCAAGCAGCAGTATGCGGGGGAGACACCGGCGCACACTCAAACTCCATTCTTCGACGAATTTGCATCGAGGGGGCATGTATTGGGTTCCAGGTAGGTACTTCGTTACGGGGTATAAATAGGTCCGGATTTATTTCATCTCTGTGCTTCCCACATAATGCTCATCCAGGAAGAACGGAAGATTGCTTTTTTAGTCATCAACGGCCGGAATTGCACATGATATAACGATATTAAATCAAATCCAAATCCAAAATTACCAGCTCCATAGGTACTCATAAGCGAAACTAATACGAGAACCAACTACAGATGAACTTGAATATAAGGGCCTAAAAATTTCAGAGCCTAAATGCCCGTATACAGGGGTTGCTCGTATATTACAGTTTCAGCCTCGGCATTTAGCCTTGTTTTATACTCCTAGCCTCGTTTTATACTATCAGCCTTTCCATTTTTATTAAATATATCATATGAATTTATAAATTCATTAGATAATAAACTAAAGCTTAAATCATTCCCACTCAATTTTTATAAAAGCATTGGGAAATTAAGATTATATATTCTTATATAAAAGAATATCCGTTTATAGTCAATTTCACCATATAAATTTTTAGAAAATCTAAAAATATGTTTGTATAAAGGGGATGCCCGTATATCACGTGCTCGTATATCCAGGTTCATCTGTACGAGCCACTTAAATTCTCACGTGCTTGAGTAATCTAAAGAAAAGGGATGCGAAGACTCAACACCTGTACGCGGTGCATCCTACGAACCTCCAGCTCTCTCTTGAGAGTCTGCAGAGCTAAGATTGAGTCGCAGATGGAATTGGAAGAATTGGAAGGAGAGAGGTTCAGAGATATAGCGAAGGATTATATTACAATTTTACAACAACACTACCTATAAAGAGTTGAATACCAGCTTTAGATACGGATACAAAGATTACGGAAGCCCGGTTAGATTCAATATCTATTATCGATTACTATTTCAAATATAGAAATATAATATGCAATAGGTCTCTTCTTTAGAAGAGTCTTTTCGATATAGAGCTTACCGCCACTCTACTCGTACTACAACCCTTTTTTATATCCTTTGGCTTTCAGCCACTCGAATATTACAACGACACAATACAGAAAATGCCATCGCCTTCAAATTAATACTATACTCTGGGCATCGATATAATATAATGTTTTTCTTTTAATTTTCGAATTTTCGAATTTCCGAATTGATTTGTATATGGGCAATAAGGGCTTAGGATTCGGCCCTGCCCTACTATTTTCAACAGTTTCGACTATATACATTTAATAAGAACTGAAGGATATCAAGTTTATAAAGATATACAAGGAATTAGTTTAAAAGAGATAAAGATAGAAAAGAGTGATGCCTTTTTTTGCTATTTTATTAGTAAAAGAACCCTTTACTATATTGGAAGCAATTCGAGAGGGGATAACTCTTGCCTTTTATAAAAAGGGAGGAATAGCAAATTGGATTTAGGATTTTAAAAAGAGAAATTGAATATTGGAATACTTTAATTGAATTAGGGGTAGGGAAAGAATAAGGAAGGAAGTATCTCAGAGAATGAAGACTATTTAATCTCTATTTGTATTCCAAATAGAGATTGGATATAGCACCCCAGTATTCGTTTTTACTCCTCCAAATTGAATATATCTACTTTAGATATCCACTAGCAGTTGTTAGGTTCTTAAAGCCTAGCCGTCCTAAATAGTCTTGGACTGAGAAAAGGACGTTAATTAAATCAATCAATCAATCAATCAATCTAAAGAAAAAGAAAAGAAAAGAAAATACGATCAGTAGATAGATATCTATCGTACTTGACAATAGCATATCACGATAGAGGGGAATGATTGGACAATAATGGTATAAGTACAAGAATGTGTATATCTCCTCATCTACAGTTAGAACTGATCTCTTCTCGTAGAGAAGAGATAGGATTATATACTGGGTGATCTTCGGGTACCGATCACGGGAGCGGTGATCGGTCCTGCGGCCGATCCGGTTATCGTTGTTCCGCTCCGGAGTATTCTATATAATGAATACCTGACCATCACATGATCTGATCCACGTGGTCTACAACACCGTTTCCGTCACAATATCGCATATTCCTTTCCGAATCCCTTCAAACCAGTAATATTTCCTATTACAAATTCGCGATAGCGAATATTAACGGATATACGATTTCTTGAGATGCGGTTTCTTTAGAATTGATATAATGAATTATAGATAGAAAATTTCGAGCGATTTAGTAATTAAATTATAATAGAGAATTTTCATTAAGTTTGAGATATTAGATATATATATATTAGTATCCGAAAGGATTTGTAAGAGTAAGTTTATATATTTACGAGTAATACTAATAGATATAGACGAGAGGTATAGCGATAGAGTAACGAGTAACGAGAACTTCGTTAGCGGATAGAATATATATTGTCAGGGAGCGATCACCTGACAGGGTTTATATAGTAGATCTACTGTTCCGAACGCATTCGGAATACTCTACGCTTTTGTGAGTTAGTAATAAAGTAGATCAACCCTAACATATATAAAATAAACGAAAGAAATTAGAGATAATACGAAAGTAATATCTAAGGAGAGATATTAAAAAATAATAACTTGATTTACTTCTACGAATTTATTAATTTGTCAAGGTACGGGTAAAGACTTATATTGTACCATAAGGGTAGAAGAGCTATGGAAGAGTGAAGCCCTACTTATAGGAAGTAGGGCGCGCTAGTATGCTGTGCCTGAGGCACGAAGGCAACTACAGATCATGTAGTTGGCGCCGTGACATAATTAGAATTTGAGAAATCGATTGATGTAATCCTTTTTAGATTTTCTTGAAAATTAAAATTAGAATATAATATACTCTTTTCTTTTCTTTTTTTAATCTGTTTAAATTTGTATACTGAATTAAAAGAAAATTCTACATTACTAATTCTAAATACGTTTTCAGCCCAAACAAAAATCTATTTTTAGGGTTTTGACCAAAGGATTCAAATCGGCCTCGGTATCTGTGCACACCTATGGAAGATCTATTTTCCGATAGGTTCTTTTGACTGCCTCTCCTCTTGCATTGTCATCTAGTCTTCCTCTTTCTGGGTCATTTTTGATGAGTATTTTACTTTACTGTTTACTTCCTGCTCATGGGCTTATGGAACTCCGTTGATCGATCTAGTGACAGAACTTTTCGTGTTCTCAGATGGCAATCTGGGAGTCCGGACACATCTCTATCATCTCACAACGTCAGATGTGTGACTTGAATATCAGATCTTGTCTCGAACTAGAATTAGTTCTCGATCATCTAAATCAGAATACAACTCATTCACCAAGAAGTAGATAGATTCTTTACTTCCAACATCCCAGCTTCAAGGAAAGTGTCTAAATATCTTCTCATTATTTCTTGTTATCTGCTTGCTAGCTGTTCTCTTTCCTGCTTTGTCTGGTACAGATCATACGTCCCGAGTTTCCCTATAGCTTATGTCCACAAGTATCTATCCTTCTGCTCAAAGAGGAAGTTGAAAGAGTTACCCTTAGTCATGTCCTTTCGTGAGATACACTATGCATGCGCTGTCTTCCTGTCACCTCTAGCCCATCCTGAGAAGAAACGCAAGGAAATTTCAAAACAAAGGAAAGAGAAAAAAGAGAGAAGGGAAAAGGAACACATCCGCTATGCCTATGCCGCTTGCTACTTCGCTTCAGTATCTCGCTATATCGCTCGCTAATCGTCATGGATTGAATGCTTGTCCACGCTGTGCAGAAAACGCAATACATGCCAGGGGGATATTTCCAATCAGTTACATAGCCGCCGTTCTCAGAAGTCCATTCATTCATCCATTGCTTCGAAAAGCCTTTTCATCTCGCCCATCTCCATCATTTCCTCTTCTTCAATCATGGCGTCCTCGTATGCTCTTCTTCTACCCAATCCAACTCTGTCTATTGCGAACGATGTAATCTCCTCACCCGCCATTCCGTTCTCATATCCAACGTTGTATTTTGGAGAGGGCAACCCCGCCTTTCTGATTCCTGCTTGTTTGAAATCTGCCAAAGTTGGCCAGTCTGCTCGTACAGGTGACTCCTCGTTCAAGCTAGGATGTCCCCAAATGGTCTTCCGAGCGAGCACACTTGACAATTCATCACTAAATGCTTTTCCTCCAAAGCAGGCTTAACCTTGACAAAAGTTCCTTCGCTCTTCATTCGCATAACCTCCTCTTTGTTCTTGATCCGCTCGTTCATTTCATCTCTCGCGTCATTTTTTCGCTCCTCTCGATGCTTAACCAAGTCTTCGGTGGACTTGGGAAAGTATGGCGATGCTGTTAGGCCGAGATGAGTACCTTGAATTCGGAGACGATCGAAGTTCTTTCCAACTTCATAGGTATCGCTTCGGTGAGTAAGGGATGTTCCCGCTGCCTGTGTCATGGCGAGAGGGTTCGGTGCAGAATTAGCAGCCTGGTATGCAGCGATAACTTTATTGGTTCTTGTCGAAGTTCCACTTGCATCAGAACGAGCTGGAACTGGGTTTCCACGACGAGATAATTGAGGAGGTCCTGTGTAGGATGGGACTCCAGCTCCATCTTGTGGCATCTCTCCTTTCTTGCCGCCCATGAATTCTCCAGTGGGAACGGAATAATTCGCAGAGATAGATTTCGCTCTCAAGACTCGTCGGTTTAAAGCTTGTTGGTTCATACTCATGCCAACACACCTCCCAATTGGTTTCCTTCTCTTGTATTTGTCGCACCAGTAGGTCTGGCCAAGATACCCGTGATAGATGGTCTAACATTTGTACCTCCGACTGCATCCCCAAAAACACTCCCATCCTGCAAAGCATGAAAACCCAATGGTGGAAAGTCATGAACGGACGGTGGCGGTTGTCGTGCTGGCGCGGTAGGAGTACCATCGTTTTGGTGGGCATGGCGAGATCTAGAACAGGTCGGTTTCGACCGCTTGATCCGCTGCCTCGGTGACGCTTCAACATCGCATTGTTTCCGGCGGGTGGTTGGGGGGTGGTTGTGCCTTGGATGTTTTCTTTGATCGGTTCCATCTTTTGTTCTGTTTGTCCAAATCGACGTAGATTTGAATGGTGCAAATAAAGGGTTGAGAAGTGAGGTAGATAGGTAAGTAGGTAGATAGAAGGATTTTTCTCTTGCGCCTCTGCTTCTTTGATGTTGAAAATATATGTATGTACTTTTATCTTGCTTGCTTGCAGTAACAAACCCCAACTTTCCAATTGCCAGAATCTCAAAGCTTTGTGAAGAAACTTGAAACAAGTGCAGAATTTAAATAAGCAGGAGAAAAAGAAGTTCGATCTTGAAGCTGTATGTATCGTATCGGATTGTATTGTATTGTAAAGAAGCAGCAGCAGGAATAGCAACAGGTGCAGCAATAAACAAGATTAAAACTGGGAGGAATTATTCAAAGTCTATACGGAAACGAAAAAAACGTAGTTCGGATCTATATTCAAAAATTGTGGTGGTGGTTATTTGCCAATCCGAGCCCCGATGTCGCAGAGGGGAGGGAGGTTTTTGATCTTTGACTTGACTTGACTTTTTTTTTTCTCCCTAGCTTTTGTGTTTTGTTTATGGATGTTGGTTTTTGGTTTTTGGTTTTTGTTTTTGAGAGAGAGAGAGAAGAGTGATATAAGAGAAAGAAAGAAAGAAAGAAAACTGTGATCTATCTGGCTGGCTGGCTGTCTCTCTGTCTGGTTGGTGACACGGGAGTGTCTTGAGTAGTGATTGGGAGTTTTATGAGAGGAGGTTAATGGTGGTTGATAAGAAGCTTTGGATGATTGGGCTGAGGGGTGAGTTTATGAGGATAGAATGAGATGAGATGATATGGAATGGAATGGGATAGAGAGAGAGGGGAGATTGAGGGAAGTGAATGGGGGCTGTGATGGGTTGATTGGTTGCATGGGGATTTACTATGTGTGTTTTTACGGGTTTAGGAGAGAGTGTAGTGTAGTGTTGTGTTATGGAATGGGAGTCTTGAATTTACTAAATTAGATGGGATGTTGTGTTTGGGTTTTGTGGACTTCTGGTGGATTGTATGGTGTGGTATTGTAGTATGTTCTAAAGAATATCTACCTACGTAGACATTGTCTTGAGGAGAGTGAATAGTCTCAATGTAAACTACATCTATATTCTTTGACACCAACGCTAACACTCATACCAACACAAATCACAGTAACAAGACTTCATTATAAATGAAATTAACATGAACTATCATAGAATCCAACTCTTCTCGATACATTCTAGCTATGTAGTTACAAGACTCACACCATATATACCTCTCTCTCTCTCTCTCTCTCTCTTTCTCCTTCTCAAACATATCTACCTCCGAATTCGAAACTTCACCTTTGAATTTTGACTTAACCGATCTCGGAGCTGGAGTTATTTTTGAAAAAAAAAAAAAAGTTTGTCTATTGGTTGTAGTTTATATGAGCTTTAGAAAGTGAACTTTGAGTTTTGATAGTGAGTGGGTATGTATGTGGGAAAGTAATGGTGATGGTGAGTAGACAGGTAGATAGGTAGAGAATTTGGGGCATGGGATTTCGATACGGGAGAGAGGTTTATACTCATGAATTACAGTGTAGGTTGTCTTGTGAAGTGTCTCGTTTGTGGGATATGGAATATGGTGTGAAGTTTTTTGTGGGATATGGAATATGGTGTGAAGTTGTATGATGTGGTATTATTTGCAATCACAAGTCATCTCATTTCAGCTCTCTTGTATATAAGGGAAGAAAAGAGATGAGATGAAGATGAGATGATACGACTCATCATCTAAAATCTGATACTCAGGTGTCAAAATCTTGGGAAGTTCTCTGAATGAGGAAGAGTTTCTCTCTAAGGTTCTCTAATGTTTTTTCCCTTGCTGGGTATTAATATCCTATGATCACTTCTGAAAACAATGATTGATTGATTGATTTTATTAACGTCCATCTTCAGTCCAAGACTATATAGAACGGCTAGGCCCTAAGGGCTAACGGATAACTTTTTAATTTACAATATTGGATATAATCTAATTGGGGAAGTGAAAACAAATACTAGGGAACAATACCCCGCTCATTATACGCATTACATATAATAAGAAAATTTTGAAAATCAAGAAATTGTAAAGAGATCAAACCCCCTTCTTATTTCCTTAATTACTTCTTCTTCATTCTCTTTTCCTCTTTCCTTTTTATTACTATTCCTTCCTCTATTACTTCTATTCAAAAGTCCTTACTAAATGCTATACCCTTATAGCGATTTTAATGATATTAATAAATTTGATAGCTAATTCGATACCTATCTTTATATGCAATAGGAATTATATAGTGATTTTGGATAATAGGATTTTCTTAAAGATTTCTTTTCTTTCTGTTTTATATATAGAACAGCTAATAAAAGGTGTTATGGTGCCTCAATATTGCCGTATATACATTTATTATTGATAAGTTTGAAATAATGTAAGTAGAATTTGATATATCCGTAATCTAATTTGAATTGAAAAAATACACTAGCAGTATTTCGAGTAATTCTGCTTGATAGCTTGATCTTGGAACCTATTTTCTATGGAAATAGCTTCAAATAAGTTAATGGGAATTGGTTTGATCTGAATTCGTATTAATTGAGAATATCAAGCTATTGATCTGAGGCATATTCTTTGACAATCATATTTAGTAGTTTAAAGCTTGTTTTGTTCAAAGTGGGTTTGTATTGTAATTGCTTCCTTGACTAGCTTATCTACTAGTTCATTTCCTTTAATTGAGATGTATCCAGAAACCCAATTTAACGAGATTTCAGCTCCTTTGCTCTAATAACTTCTGCTGCCTTGATTGCTCTTATTTGATTGATTTGTTCTGGGTGATTTGAAGGAGTTTTTAAGCGATATAAATTAGCTTGATTATCCGAATAGATTTTGAACTTTTGATTAGTATAAGCAATTGAGTTAGTATATTTGATAACTCTTGTAACTCCAAAAAGCTCTTTATTATATACTAATTGATTAATATCAATATTGCTTCGCTCTTGATATAGAATTCGATTATTTGACTGTATAGCCATTATGCCTACCCCAATACCAATTCCCTTCTCAATGAAGGAGGCATCAGTGTAAATATAGGTGGTATTCTTATCTCTATATTTGGAAATAATATTGTGAAGAATAGCAGTGTCTTCTTTTGATGAATTGCTAATATTAATTCGAAAAGAGGTTTCTCTTTTTTATAAGGGGAAGTTAAAATAAATAATCTTTTCAAGTGAGGAGGGGTTGAAGTTCTGATTTGTCGATTCCCTTATTCTATCTAGTTGAGTAGGTTTATATCGTTTTCTTCGAGGAGTAGGGATTACATTCAAATTGGTTTGATATTGAATTAGTGATGTTTTTTCGATATTGATTGGATGGTTTGTTGTAATTGATTGATTGATTGATTGATTTAATTTAACGTCCCGCTTCAGTCCATGACTATATAAGACGGCTAGGCCATAAGGGCGCTAGCGGATAACTTTTGAAATACACAATGGGAATGAAATAATGGGGGAGGTGAAAACAAATACTGGGGTATAGCGCCCACTATTGTATGTAGTCCATACAATAGGTTTTGAAAGGGATTTTACCCCTCTCATGGTTTGTTGTAAGTTTAGCTAAACGGAATGTGTATTATCTAATGTTCGAATCTAATCGAATTTTTGAGGGTTTTTAAACCTACTTCTATTTCTATTGGAAGAATTGGGGCAGTTTTGAAAACTCCTAATATCTTTCGAAGAGCTAGGTTTTGAAGTGATTATATTATATTTTTGAATTGTGTTTGGTCTTTTTATTAAATCATTGATCTATAATCGGCTATACTAATCATATATGCTATATATAGTTGTCTGAGGGCTTTAGGACTAAGGTCCTTTTTGATATTAACTAATCAGGCTATTCAATGGAAGGCTCCTTTGACTTGTATAATTCGAATATTAATATATTGATCAAATTTGAAGCTCGGATCGAACTATATTCCTAATTATCTAATTAGAGATTGGGGTATAATTATTTCCGAATTGGGTAGTGTGATTGGGTAGTCTTTTGTTAAATTGAATGATGAGAAATGTATTAACTCAGTTTTTACTAAATCGAATTAAATAGCATTGATTGATTGATTGATTGATTTCATTTACGTCCACGTTCAGTCTAAGACTATATAGGACGGCTAGGCCTCTAGAGGCTCTAGCAGGTAACTTTTTATTCTACAAAGATGGATATATTCGATTTAGGGAAGTGAAAACAAATGTTGGGGACCAGTGCCCGCTTATTATACGCATTGCATATAATAAGAATTAAATAGCATTCTTTGAACTGAGTTTGTAGATTTGTTTTGTAGTTCTTTCTAGAGATTTAATATTCTTTTTCTATGTGGAAGAATTAGCAATTAAAGCGATATCATCAATATAAGAAAGGAATTTTATCAAATTGAATAAAAAAAATCTCTAATGTATATAAGGAAAAGGATTGGAGAGATTGGATTACCTTGTGGTATTCTAGTCAAAATTGGTTTGAAAGATTCGGTTTGATTATTAAAAGATAGTTTTAATTGTTTTTATTGAAGAAATAAGGCTATTTAGGTTATGAGATTTATAGGTAGTTTTAGTTTCTTACAAATATCTAATAGTCGATTTTTCGAGATGTAATTAAAGGCTCCCTTTATATCTATAAATAATATTGAGGTTTTCTTATTGGCTTGTTTGTTTCTTTCGATTTTTGTAGTTAATAGAAGTGCAGTATCAATTACTGATTTCTTTTGCCGATCTCCTATTTGACTTTTATGTAGGAGGTGAGTAGTTTCCACTAAATATCCTAATCGCTAGGCTAGAATCCTTTCGCTTATTTTCCAAAACAATTTAATAATACAATAATTCTGTATGCTTTTGAAACTAAATAATCCAGTTTTAAAGCTTCTTTAAAATGGCCCCAGTGTCACGGGATCACCTCTGGGAGTATTCAGAAGCTTTACCGCTGAGCTAAACGCCCAAAAGACTAGGAGGTAGAACTGGAAGTTCTACCTTACTCTCACATATATAG